CGGTGTCGGGTTGTACCTCTGATGTCCCCAATGTCCCCAAAGCCCCAATACCCCAATGTCCTGCTGTCCCCAAGGATGTCCCTCACTCGGTGGCAGTGACACTGACCCGGTGCCAGGCATTGCTGAGGACCCTGTGCAGGTTCCAGATGGGCCCCACGGTGTCAGGTTGTACCTCTGATGTCCCCAGTGTCCCCAAAGCCCCAACACCCCAATGTCCTGGTGTCCCTCACTTGGTGACAGGGACACAGTGCCAAGCATTGCTGAGGACCCCTCTTAGGTTCCAGATGGGCCCCATGGTGTCGGGCTGGACGTTGTAGCTCTGATGTCCCTGGTGTCCCCAATGTCCCTGCTGTGTCCCCAATACCCCAATGTCCTGCTGTCCCCAAGGATGTCCCTCACTTGGTGACGGGCATGCGGTGCCAGGCGTTGCTCAGGACCCCGCGCAGGTTCCAGATGTCCCCAATGACCCCAATGTCCTTGCTGTGTCCCCAATGTCCCCAAAGCCCCAATGACCCCAATGTCCCTGCTGTGTCCCCAATATCCCAATGTTCTGCTGTCCCCAAGGATGTCCCTCACCCATGGTGTCGGGTTGTACCTCTGATGTCCCCAATACCCCAATGTCCTAGTGTCCCTCACTTGGTGACGGTGACGGGCACGCGGTGCCAGGCGTTGCTGAGGACCCCTCTCAGGTTCCAGATGGGCCCCACGGTGTCGGGTTGGACGTTGTAGCTCTGATGTCCCCAATGTCCCTGCTGTGTCCCCAATGTCCCCAAAGCCCCAATACCCCAATGTCCTGCTGTCCCCAAGGATGTCCCTCACCCTCGGTGTTGGGTTGTACCTCTGATGTCCCCAATGTCCCCAATACCCCAATGTCCTGCTGTCCCTCACTTGGTGACGGTGACAGGGACACAGTGCCAGGCATTGCTGAGGACCCCTCTCAGGTTCCAGATGTCCCCAATGTCCCTGCTGTGTCCCCAAAGCCCCAATACCCCAATGTCCTGCTGTCCCCAAGGATGTCCCTCACTTGGTGGCAGTGACACTGACCCGGTGCCAGGCATTGCTGAAGTTCCAGATGTCCCCAATGACCCCAATGTCCCTGCTGTGTCCCCAATACCCCAATGTCCTGCTGTCCCTCACTTGGTGACGGTGACGGGCACGCGGTGCCAGGTGTTGCTGAGGACCCCACACAGGTTCCAGATGTCCCCAATGACCCCAATGTCCCTGCTGTGTCCCCAATGTCCCCAAAGCCCCAGTGACCCCAATGTCCCTGCTGTGTCCCCAATACCCCAATGTCCTGGTGTCCCCAAGGATGTCCCTCACCCTCGGTGTTGGGTTGTACCTCTGATGTCCCCAATACCCCAATACCCCAATGTCCTGCTGTCCCTCACTTGGTGGCAGTGACACTGACCCGGTGCCAGGCGTTGCTGAGGACCCCGCTCAGGTTCCAGATGTCCCCAATGACCCCAATGTCCCTGCTGTGTCCCCAATACCCCAATGTCCTGCTGTCCCCAAGGATGTCCCTCACTTGGTGACGGTGATGGGCACGCGGTGCCAGGCATTGCTGAGGACCCTGTGCAGGTTCCAGATGGGCCCCACGTTGTCAGGTTGTACCTCTGATGTCCCCAATGTTCCCAAAGCCCCAATACCCCAATGTTCTGCTGTCCCTCACTTGGTGACGGTGACGGGCACGCGGTGCCAGGCGTTGCTCAGGAC